AAAGTAGCAGTGCATAACAGAGAGGGATGGGGGGGGGGGCTTATACTGTTTATGGCATGACTGTAAGATAACAACACTTCTGAAAGATGAAAATGTAATTTTCATTAATGATCAGCTAATAAAATATGTATAATTATTCTTGTATTAGACATGTTGAGATGCTGGTATAACATGCAATTCACATCTAGGCTTCAGCCTACATTAATCTTGTGATTTTTATGTCATGTGTTAAATGCTTTTTAATCCATGAAGAATTTAGAAAACTACTATAGAAACACTCATGAAACAAGCATTCTCAAAGTCCTCAATTCTGCAGAAAATCATTCTCAAACTCAGTGATTTTCAGGTTGCCTAAAGCTCAACCATCCAAACCCACAGAATTATACCCTCATGTATAATTTGAAATCCCAATTATTTTACTCCTTTAATTCGAAATTTGTCAACATCATATATTTAATTTCCTTGAAGACTTTCTAAAGCAAATAATCTTACATCTACCTTTGTAAGTGATAAACAGCTCTAGAGGCCAAAACTCAGCCAATAAATCATTCTGTCTCTCTCTCAATTAGCATTTCTTCAACAAACACCAGAAATATTTGTCCAGTCATGAGGCCCGTCTTCACTATCTCAAGATTGCCAAATATCCAGCTATTTGAACTATCCCGATCGAAACTATCCAGCTAATTTGCGTCTTCATTAGACCGAAGTAGCAAATTAGCAGGATAGTTGGTCGGAATAATATCCCAAGATATCTCCGTCTAGTTTGCAAAATATCCCATTATTTTCGAACTAGCGGGATAGTGTGCGACCGTCTTCATTAGACCGAAGTACGTAGTCAAATATCCCGATCCCATCATGCACAACGGTTTTCCGTGTTTACTAGTTGTACTAGCGCGCGCACATGCGATCTATACCGCTCAGCGTGGGATATTTTGCAAATTAGACCGAGATTTCTTGGGATATTATCCCGACCAACTATCCAGCTAATCTGCCACTTCGGTCTAATGAGGACGCAAATTAGCTGGATAGTTTCGATCGGGATAGTTCAAATAGCTGGATATTTGGCAATCTCGAGATAGTGAGGACACGCCTCATATGATGCATGTATCACTGCTGACATATTCCTCGCTCTCTTGATCGTAAATAATAGTAGAAGGCATAAACATCCTCCTACTCACTCTTAAAGTACAATGTGCAAGACCCCTAAGAACTTCATGGAAAAATAGTGTTAGTGACCATTCAAGAGAATATTATCTCCTGCGATGGCAATATTGTTATCTGTTATGATATTCCATCTTTTATCTTTGTATAATATTGTCATGATGATGGGAATAAATATCAATTCAATTCAATTTGATTAAACAAATCTTTATAGTGGGATCACAAGAGTTAAATCAGTGACTTTATTAATCTTCAATAAATAAGAACAAAGTTACATCAGCCCATAAATTTTCCAACTTGTTCAATAAGTTTGTGAACTAGTGAATTATTGAATCTGATCACGAAAATGTATTATCCCTGGTCTCAAATTTGTATATCTGCGTATTCCCCTTTTCAGGTAAAGTAAATTATTTAGTCAATTTTGTTCAAAATTTCTCTCGAAGTACCAAACGATTCCTTTAAAGTAACCGATTTTCACTTTTGTTTGGGATACACAACTTTGTAATATGACTAATGAAATATTCATATATTTGTTTTGGGGTTTATCTGCATTGCGTACATTGGTTTAATGTCATGCCTTGCTTCACAAAAAGGTCAGATTTCTCATGCCTTTTTTATTTCTGTGTGAACCACACAATTAGGGAACAAAATCCATGTTTGCATCATAAGGAACTACATGTACATTTAATATTCTATTCCACCAAGCTGATGCCATTATTAAGTACTATTCAAATCAACCAAAATTTAGGGTTTCAAAATAAATCACAGGAAAAAGGGACAACCGCATAATTAGGGTAAGAAATTCATGTTTGCAACATAAGGAACTACTTGTAAATTATTATATTCAAACAATCCGTTGCCATTATCAAGTTCAATTCAAATCAACCAAAATTTAGGGTTTCAAAATAAATCACAGGACAAAGGGACAACCACACAATAAAAGGTATAAAATTCATGTTTGCATCATAAGGAACTACATCTAAATTATTCTATTCAAACTCTCCAAAACCATTATCAAGTTTGATTCATATCAACCAAAATTTAGAGTTTCAAAATAAATAACAGGAAAAGGACAATGTAAAATCAATAGAATTTGTTGGCAATTGAAATCATTACAAAAACATGGATTAAACACAGACAGTATGTGTAACTCTGTGCAAACATTATTCCTGGCAAAGCCAATATTTGCTCTGGCCTTTACATCTGCCAAATAAACCTCAAAAACACATTTCTATTTGCTACCCTTGAAAATAAATCCCAAAGGGAGATTAGTAACTCAACATTCTGAAGGCAAACATAATGAGCATGAACATGACATTGAAACGTGCAAGACTGACATAACAAACAGGATCAGGGAGAAAAAAGTTTGGCAAACAATTCTAACAAAATAAATATATACTGACTCATGACAAATTATTACTATGATTAGGTGTATATCATTTTTTAATGATCATTAATCAAATTCTAATCTTGTTTCTATGTTTGAATGTCTTATTTTTATGTTCAGCAACAGCCAGTGAGGACCACCTCTCGTGTGGATTCCCAATCCTTTTAGGCAACCCACAGGCACTGGCTGGTGCCCATTATCTTTTGGTATGTGTATTGTTAATACTGATGTCTGTGTTACATTGCATTCTCCTGGATATTAAATAAACAAATAAATAAATAAATAAATACTGTATGCGAACTATATTGTATTTGTGAGTTTTCACAGGAAGAAATAGGTTTTTATAAAGTGTTGTATTATTTACCATGTAAATGAACACTTTTATGACAATTGATACAGAGTGTAATTGATACTTTGAGCAACTGTTTGAATAAGATGTTTTATCAAAACAATAAAAAAGGTTAACTATTCCGAAAAGATCATTTGGATCAATTGCTTATGGTGTCGTTTAAAAGGAATCATGATTAAAATGTTCAAATCAACCCTGGTATAAAACAAAAAGGGTATTTAAACTGTAAATCAAGTATTTGTGAGTTTTCACCAAGGAAGAAAAAGAGTTTTCATAAAGTATTTTCATTGTGTGTAGAAATATGCATATATACTGTCAAATTCCTATTGCTCAGCAGCTAATAATATTTCCTCTTTCTGCTGTCAGAAGGAAGCCAAGGGTGAAACAATTCATAATCCAAACCCATCCAAGCTCATAACCACTGTCTGAACCAACATGGGGTTATCTTTGTTCTATCACCATGACAACAAAAAGATGCATCAATAATCAATGAAGAGGGCGCTCAGCCGTAAATGAAAATATGTCAAAAAGACAAAAACAAAATTAATTGTTCGAATGGGATAGAGACCGTGTCCAAAAGTACTTGTGAATTAATCGACTATTTTGAGAGCATCTCTTTTGATCTGTAGTCTTATGGCTTATTTAGATATGGCGCAGTAAACCGCCAGCTCAGTTTTTTTACTTGCAAAAACAAAGGTCTTGCACGTATTCAATGAGCTCTGTGTTATATGATAGAGAAATGTGAAGCGTATTACAGTTTACATTCATCATAAAAAAAGAACGCTGCGTCGTATCTGAACAGTCCTTTAACGCATTTGAGTGATAGGTGAACAGGTAGTGGAGTGTGTATACACTTTACAGCACATCAGTTACCATCTCTGTTAGTTTTTTAAACGAGTTTAATGAAATAAAAGGAAAGTCTACGTGTAGCTGGAGTAGTTACAAGTAGTACAGTCAATGAAGCCAGGATATTCAAAAGTGATAATAGTTCAAAGCATTACATCATTTTGGTTAGTTTGATGGTAAATATTCACTTCTGGTGGAATTTGAAACTCAAAATGATTAATCACAAATATGTATTTGATGTGTGCATCTAATACAGACTGAAAAGGTCTGCAACCCTGAGCCGCAGAAAACTTAAAAAACTGTGTTTAGACTCTATTCAATCATGTCTGAGGGTGAGATACATTCCAAATGTGAACACCTCCTCATCATGTATACAGGGCAATGATGAAGTGAACGCAATATTGCTGAAAGAAAGCATCACTGAAAGATATCATAGGAACGCTGGGGTTCATCTCAATGTCATGGCCTCATCTATAACACAGGAATATCTCTTTCAACGGCAGTGCAATAAACTTTAGGGACATTATAGAAGGGTTCCATTTCAGCAATTCATGGAAACATCTAAATCCGAATGCAATGTACTGATGGGTGATGATAACTATCTTGTAACTATAGAGGTATCACGTAATTGATTTTACGGTACTTGTAACGTGGTATAACAAGATTAATGCTCTTCTTTTCAAATTTATTAACTAACTCATAGGGACAGCCGTTATTAAAAAGCATAATCTTTGCTCAACAACAGATGCATGTAAACTTATCATTCCCAAGTCTAGACTCTCAGCAGATGAAAAACGTTTTGCAGTACCCGCATCAAAGACTTGGAATGACATCCCCCTTTACATAAATGTAAGGGAAATTACCTGTCTTGCCACTTTCAAACGATTCCTAAAAACTTACCTTTTCCCCCAGTGATCCATGTGATCTACTTCCGGTGAGACTGTAAAATTTTGTCCTATTTTCATATATTTGTATTTGTAAGGGCTATGGTACTTATTGTTCTTAGCGTTCCTAAATATTCTACATTATTATAGTGTATCAGTAAAGTGCTTAGAGACATAGTATAAGACTATATAAAAGCAGAATATTATTATTATTATTATCATTATTTAAAGTTCTACTTCTAGTATTGACAGAAAAAATTATTCTGTCTAAAAGAATGAAACAAAACTAAATGTTGGAGCAAGAAGATGGGAGAGACTACAAATGAATGATATCTGTTAATAAATTTTGGTAGAAAACCAATTTATATCTTACCATGCAGCGTATTTCTCTTTCCATCAGCGCCTACGATGACATCAAACTCATACTCTGATACCGGGTGATCTTTGGGGTCTAGCTTGGCCCTCCAACCAATCTCTGAAAAACAAACAGAAAACAAATATGGAAAATAATAATTTCTTCATAAAATACACAAAATCATGTTACATGGGAACATCATATCACATTCAACATTTTTCAATGTGAACATTTGGAGATGATGAAACATTTATGCCGATGAAGCAATCTTTTACATATATATATATATATGTACCTGTATTAAAATTTACCTTTATGTCTTATTACAATCATATTGTCTGATTATAGTCCTTTATAATAGAAATTGACATACAAGGTATGCCCTCATGGTGACTGCATGGTAGTAAATCTCCCCAGGGAGTGGAAATGGTGCACACTGTGCGTAACAATTAATGAATCTGATGACAGAGGTAATAATAATATCTGTAAAGCGCTACATAAATCCTGATTTATTATCATTATTTCACATTTTTCCTGCCATGATAAATTTCCCTGATAATAATACCTTGATGCTCTGATATATCCAATTGGTAATCACAGCTTTTGAAGCTAATTCCGCAAATGTACAAATTCAACCTATTATTCCTATAATAATCCTTTAGTCGGAGGTGATCAAACTTTAAATGACCTTGGATTGACCTTGAGATTAGGCTTCAATGTGTTGCACTTGACTGAATGGGATTATCTGGGTATGATGATATCCAATCTTAAAATCATAGATTAACTTTCTAACCCTCTCGGCTTGCCATATCAATGGGAAAAAACATGATAGTATGACAGTGTTAGTTGCTGGGTTTTAATAGCTTGATTTAAAATGAAAGTTTGCATGTAGTTTTAAACTTAACTATTATCTCAGATGTAGCGACAGTGTGAACACACTTGTGATTTCAAAAACCAAAGTTTTACTTGAATTCTAAACAAAAAATGGGCTCCTCATACTAAGTTATATGCCTGGCTAACACAATCAGCAGCCAAGTTCGCCAGCAAGTAAGTATAGACTTCAAAGACTGCTGGCATGGCTTGTAGTTTAAAAGGAAGAGCTTAAGATGTCGTCATTTAAAGAGCCCTCACTACCGGTATATTTATGTTTATAACGTACTACAATGGTGCCGAGCGAATACAGGTAATGTAATAATGTATTGGTAAATTGGCCATCATGTGCAGGTAAACCTGGGCCACGACTTATACAGAGTTGCATTTGATCTGGATCAATCGCAAGTCCCCCAATCAATCACAAGTTTGCAGTCTCCTATCTCTTATGTACATAGTTATGAGTGATATCAACTCAGGGAGAAAAAAATACGGGGGCTCGAGGCAAATAAGCCCCTGAAATGCAAAAAAAAAGCCCCCGGAATCATAAAAGAGCGTAGCTTCCAAAAAAAAAAAAAAAAATTGTTCCCTGTCTCAACTCTTTAAAAGTCGGGGCCCATATCTATAACCCTCAATCAACTGGGAAGCTTATCAATGGGAGAAACTAGATAGTATGACAGCGATCCTCCATACAAACATGCACATGAGCAGGTAGATTAGATGAACTTTCTACCCTACATACCCAGCTTACGAGGGGGACAAACCTGATAGCCTCAGGCCTCGTTCAGACATGACAGAGTGGGACAAACTTGATAGCCTGAGGCCTTGTTCAGACATGACAGAGGGGGACAAACCTGATAGCCCTCAGGCCTTGTTCAGACATGACAGAGGGGGACAAACTTGATAGCCTGAGGCCTTGTTCAGACATGACAGAGGGGGACAAACTTGATAGCCCTCAGGCCTTGTTCAGACATGACAGAGGGGGACAAACTTGATAGCCTGAGGCCTTGTTCAGACATGACAGAGGGGGACAAACTTGATGGCCTAAGGCCTTGTTCAGACATGACAGAGTGGGACAAACTTGATAGCCCTCAGGCCTTGTTCAGACATGACAGAGGGGGACAAACTTGATAGCCCTCAGGCCTTGTTCAGACATGACAGAGGGGGACAAACTTGATAGCCCTCAGGCCTTGTTCAGACATGACAGAGTGGGACAAACTTGATAGCCCTCAGGCCTCGTTCAGACATGACAGAGGGGGACAAACTTGATAGCCTTAGGCCTTGTTCAGACATGACAGAGGGGGACAAACCTGATAGCCCTCAGGCCTTGTTCAGACATGACAGAGTGGGACAAACTTGATAGCCCTCAGGCCTCGTTCAGACATGACAGAGGGGGACAAACTTGATAGCCTTAGGCCTTGTTCAGACATGACAGAGGGGGACAAACCTGATAGCCCTCAGGCCTTGTTCAGACATGACAGAGGGGGACAAACTTGATAGCCTTAGGCCTTGTTCAGACATGACAGAGGGGGACAAACCTGATAGCCCTCAGGCCTTGTTCAGACATGACAGAGTGGGACAAACTTGATAGCCCTCAGGCCTCGTTCAGACATGACAGAGGGGGACAAACTTGATAGCCTTAGGCCTTGTTCAGACATGACAGAGGGGGACAAACTTGATAGCCTTAGGCCTTGTTCAGACATGACAGAGGGGGACAAACCTGATAGCCCTCAGGCCTTGTTCAGACATGACAGAGGGGGACAAACTTGATAGCCTTAGGCCTTGTTCAGACATGACGCGGCATAATCGCTACAGTTTTATAAAGAAGACATGAGGCATAATACACGTCACATAACGCAAAGCTCAATAAATATGCACAGGGCATCAGTTCCAAGCAGTTGCAATTGATCATTTACACATAAAAATGCTGGGGCGGTTCTTTTTTTGTGGCGGTTTACCTCGTAATATTTGAACGTGTCTTCAAAGTTAAACTCTACACCATTACACTAATGTAGGCAAGGTGTATCCCCCTCGACCCTCCTTGCCAAGCTCATAATTGGACAAACTTGATACTTCGACTGTAATACTGTAGTCTTATACATTTACAAGTATGTGTACAGGGAAATTAATTAGACACGCATTAGGTACCTACTGCCTGGCTTATCAATGGGATAAACTTGATATCATGACGGTGATACTGTAAACTGAACAAATGATCCATCTCTACCCTAGCTCCCTGACTATAGCTTATCAATGGAACAAACCCGATACCTTGGCAGTGATAGAGCTCAATCGCATTACTACATAAATACTTGTATGAATCACAGGGTCCGTTCCCATAATCAGGTTTATATTCAAGAGCCTAAAATAGATCATTATTTTTTCCAAGCAATGATAGAAAATAAATGTTAGTTTTGCTTCAGTTCATTCTCCAGTGACAATTGCTCTGCAGTCATTTTCTTGCACTTACAGAATTTCTAAATTCAACTCTGGACAAAAACTATACCTGTCCTTAACCCTAAGCTTATACCTACCCTTAGACCCACTTGCAAACCCTAACCCAATACTGTAAAACAAAACACTTTTGCGACAAGAAACTTTCCCAATTCGTAAACGAGATCATTACAACAGACTTTCATAAATTGTACAAATTCAGCAATGTGTATCTTGAGATTTAATTTTTTGCAACATAAATCAACTTTTGTGAATCTGAACAATTTGTGACATTTGCAAACATTCAATGAGCGTGACAGTTTCTTGTTTTTTAGTATCTTTGACCCGCCCCCCCCCCCCAAAAAAAAAAAGAAGGCTGGAGCAAATATTGCCAGGGCCTACATGTATGTTAGGTCATCTTTGTCTCTAATGCCTACTAGATTGCTATGATATGATGGGAATCAGAATTGTCCAACCCTGAGTCTATATGATTCATCAAGATCGTTGCCAAACACAACCCTGGACAATCGCTACTTACTGTCAAATCTGACACTTCCATTTCCAATATCATCTTCCGGTCAATTGAGCTTAGTCTCCCCCTTTGAACAGGCGCAGGCCATTTTTAGATACTTGATACTTGGTTCTATTCCAGTACGCACACTACACCAGGGTCCTGTCTATAAAGAGGTGATATCATTCATAACTATGTATGCAAGAATTAGGGAACTTGCGATTGATTGGAGGACTTGATTGATCCAAATCAATTCCAACTCTTTATAAGACGGGGTCCAGATAAACTCTACTATTATGTACATGCATGGACTGCATTTTGATATTTCCCCCAAAATGCATGGATGTGGCTTTTATTCTAGCCGTAATGAATCTAAGCGTACATGTAACGCTGGTCACATCACTCAGAGCTTGAAATTATGATTATTCTACAGCCTTGAGTATTCTGACTGTACAGCAAGGCTTGACGCCATATGGACCCCACAATTCTTCCCTATTTTCACGAAGTGACGGTAGTGGGGAAAATCGCATTTGATTTGCGTGACGATTGTCCTCATTACCGTCACTTTGTGAAATTGGGGACGAATTGTATGCAATACCAAAAAAAAATTGGAGTTAAAATAATAAAAACAGGGGCCCAGTACATACAGTTCTAAAGGATTCCATAAATAGACAAGGTTTAACAGGTGCTATGATCATGCACAAAATATTTCAGATATTGGCTGAGAAGGAGACTATAACAATAACAAACGGTACGTTCTGAGTAAGTCGTGGTAGTGCTGCGAATGAGAGGAAACACTTCATTACAGGACTACCCTGGCAAGATTGGTTGTGTGGAGATGATTGAAAATACGCTGCTTTCAAAACAATGCAGAGAAGCAATTCCAAATTGTCCCTTCCAAATGAAAAACGAACGCAGGTACGCATCAATTTAGTTAAGTGTTTTCAATCATTTCTTTTCTTTCTTTTAAATACGTGATTATCATCTATTCTTTATTTTATTCTCATTTAAAAAAAATGTATTTTCTATTTATTTTGAAATATCCATTCACATATTACTTGTAAATGATCAAGGATAAATCTTGAATGATTAGTTATTTCATGAGGATACCAATTAGTTTGCATTTTACCTGTTTATATGCTTGTGTATTTATCTATTTTGTTTTTGCTGCTGTTATTTGTTTTTTTTTACCAAACAGGGCCTCATGGAAGACCACCAAATTGGTGATATGTGCCATCCTGTATAAATATCAGAAATAAATAAATAAATAAAGTGTGTATTCGATCCTTATTGCTATTTTTCGATTTGAGTATCTGTCAAAATATGTAGTATAAAAACCAAGAGGTGGTCTGTAAATGACAGATTCAGTTTGCAATTTCCTCCCACTATACATGTATGTTCTATAATCCATGAAAAATTGCAAAAATTGGCATCTTCAAAATACAAAGAAATATGTGCCATTTTGATAATACCGGTACTGGCTAAAAGTATGAGATATATACAGGTAAAGCTTGTGATTCCTTACATGATACAAGGAAGTTCTACAACCAACTTTTTTTTGTCGTGGAATTACTATAAGAACCAAAAAGGTTTGAACTAATAAAATGTTCTTGATTTAATGTTAGTCATAATAAATAGAAATGAGACTTCCACATACCGAACTTTACAACCTACTGTCAATTACTAAGAAACACCACAAGATAACAACTAATAAAGAACTGATTTCCATTGTGACATCACAGTCTAGGAAGGTATTGTTGACATAAATGTCATCTATTGACTGATATTTGTTATAAAATGTCAACAAATCGGTTTTCTATTTGTTTTCTCTCAGTTGAGTGCATGATTGAGTAAATGAACATGAGTCATTTCATTTATATGGTCTGTTGAGAGCCAGAAGGGTGCTAACTACTATACTTTTACAAAGAGATGATCTAAGACCTTCTGTTTCTCAAAAGACGATATCGTTTGGAGCTATTAAGGCGTTAACTCGGTGTGTAATGATATGGGTTAAGCCCTTCTGGATCCAAATATGTAATATGTAGTGCACTTTGTCAAAATTCAAAGGTCGGAGATAACCATGTTATATTTAGATAAAATGTGTGACATGACATATCTTTGTAAATGTCTGTACATAAATAGTTAACCCAGTTTGCATAGCTTATAAAAAAAAAATGTGAGTTGAATACCATTATCAGCATTATCAACAAAGTGATTTCATTTTTGTTTACTTAATATAAACATTATGCTCTTTTAGTACAAAGAGAAACACAAGTCCTGAAATTTAAATTGCATAGTTACAAGCGCCCATCGCTAATGTACAATGTTGTAATTTATATCAAAGTTGACGTTAGTTGTGATTAATTGGAATCCATAACAGCTCTTTAAGATGTGGCCCTGATGATTATGTCCACACTTGAAGGTCTCTACTAGAATTTACACCTGATGTTGGGTTTAGCTAAGTCTAGAGTCAAGTTTAACAAGGGAATTTAGTCTAGTTTTTCCTCTTAACTTGCTATGGATCGAAACCCCACAGTGCCACATTGTACTTCTTCACTGATGGACAAATTTAAGAGCAGCAATCCATTCTTTGTTTCTTGGGTCGCCCAAATGTTAACAAAGTAAAATGTTAATGTGGCTTTATTCATTGCATCCCGTTGAAATCAATTAGTAGAATATGGCCTAATTCGTCATTGGTCCTGGACTTACTTTCATGTTCCTGGTCTTACTTTCATTTTAGACCAGCAATTCATTCTTTGTTTCTTAAGTCGACCAAATGTTAACAAAGTAAAATGTTAATGTGGCTTTATTCATTGCATCCCGTTGAAATTATTTAGTAGCATTTGGCCTAATTCGTCATTGGTCCTGGACTTACTTTCATGTTTCTGGTCTTACTTTCATTTTAGAGTAGCAATCGATTGTTTGTTTCTTGAGTCGACCAAATGTTAACAAAATAAAATGTTAATGAGACTATTAATTGCGTCGTTTCGAAATTAATACCGGTAAGTAGAATCTGGCCCGATTCGTCATTGGTCCTGGACTTACTTTCATGTTCCTGGTCTTCTGGGGGTACTTCTAGTCCTTCATAGCCCACTCCATAGTGGATCTCCACACCCATGATCAGGGCCACTTTGAGAAGCACCACCTGTAGCTGCCGTATACCTGAACAAGAAAGAAAAGAACGATCACTCGTAAAACAGAATCATTAGCAATATACAAGATCAATTATTGTTCTACATCTAGTATGGAGAACTTAGTGAATAAAAAGCAAAAAGAAGCAAACCAAATTTCTTCATCAAACAAACTTTTTCAACAAAAAGGCTGTTTAAGTCGGTAGTCTCTAAAATTTGCACAGGCAAGACAATTGGAACAACTAGAGACAAACCAAAATCTCGCATTAAACAGAATCATTAGCGATAGAGAAGATTAATCATAGTTTCGCATTTATAGTATAGTAAACTTTATGCCTAGATTGCAAAAGAATAAAAAAGAAGAAAAAGAAATAAACCAAACTTCTTCATCATACAGACTATTTCAACACTATTTTAAGAGTAAAGGCTGTTTATTCTCTAGTCCACATAATTGCATAGGTAAGACGATAGGAACAAGTGGGAGATGGCTTAAATAGGGGTACACAAATCTTCAGCATCCAGTCTAGATCTCTTTGATATGAGGGTCTAAATGTAAACTTCATCCTCAATAACCTTTTCCACAGAGCCTACAATCTGGTCAACAATTTATTCCTTTACATAGAAATAAAAATTATCTCCTAAAGGCAAATACTGATATGACAGGGTAAACCACCGCAAATTCAAAAAAAAAAAATTAAATTCATAAAAAAAAAAAAATGCTGCCACTTCTTTTTACAGGTTAAGCAAATGGCAACTGCATGCAGCAAAGGTCTTTAGGCATCTTCACTGAGCTCTGTGTTAAACATACGGAAATGTGGCACGTTAACACTTTAAATTAATTTTTTTAAATGCTACGGTTTTGCTGCGTCATATCTGAACGAGGCCTCAGAGCCATCAATACTTACTGATGTGATCAATAGCTCCAGCGCAGAACTTCCCAAAGAACTTCTTTGCTCCGAGGCTCCTTAGGTCGGTGATGAGGAAAGGCCAGAGATGGAGGACGTTATTCCTTGAGAAGCTGAATCGTTTCTCTACCACCACGACCTTCGTACCGAGCATAGCGCACTCTATAGCTGTACGTAGACCACATGGTCCTGCTCCGATAATGAAGACCTGTACAAAAAAGAGAGAAATAAAAAAAGAGAGAAATTAAAAAAGGAGATAAATTGATGGAATTTCAATTTTGTGTCATAGTACATGTGATGGAGAGTGCAATGAAATACATATTCTTGATTAATAATGTGAAAATTAATAAATGTAATGATCCTATCAGATTTTTTTTAAATATAATTTTTGTTATGTTTATATTCTATGCATCATTTGTCAGGAAAGACATTGTGTTCTAAATACTTACCAACTTTATATCCCTAACTATTATCTTGAACTCCTGAGTTATCTCTCTCCCTCTCCTCTCCCTCCCTCCCTCTCCCTTTACTGGTATGTCTCTCTCTGTCTCTCCCTGTCTCTCTCTCTCTCTCTGACTCTATCTCCCCTTCATTATCTCTATGATAATCAGGAGGTAATAATAAACATAATTTTCCATATTATTCCATCATGAATACCTCGATAACTTGACCCCAATTCATTTAACAGAATCAGCCTCTTTCTAGTTACCGGCATATCATCTTCAGACAAACAAACAAACTCCAACACTGCAAATATGCTAGATTTACTTCATTTCTTCTTAAATTTGAACTATGTGAGCCATGTAGTGTGCCTTAGTCTTGCAGGTACTGTTGGGGAGAAAGGGCTCAGTAATTAAATTCATGCCTGTATGATTATCATATAGAGCAGCGCATAGACAGGAAGGTTTGGATAAACCCAGCTCTTGCACTTTCTGAGTCCTAGTATTCATGCATGAGAAGCGAAGGTCAGTGTGCCAATAATATCACGTCTCATGCTGGGCTTAGTAGAGCATGTGAACAGACCCTCCATGTATGTAACACCATTATGGTGTGTTTCCATGGACATGTGACTCAGAACACTCAGTATATTAACTTGCTTCTCCTGCTGGGTTTACTAGAGCAAGTTCCAAATTTGATTCGCCTGTATAATAACAGTTAATTTGCTCATGTTTATATTTATTGTAATGATTTATCATTGAAATGACTCGATTCCTGTACATTCTTGTAATAATTGTGTATATCGTACCGGTATGTTTTAATGATATTGAATTGCTTTTTACTTTTAAATATGAATAATTATTTCAAATATTACTAAATGTTCATACACCTGCTTTTGCCGCTACCATTGATTATTTTACCACCATACCCACTACTGCAATATTGTAACATGACGAACTGTTGTATGATTTGCCTTAGTCCATATTATGTTGGCATGTAATTATGTTTATACCTTTTTTCTTTTTTCTTTGGTAGAAATTATGTTCATTAAGTGTTTTTTAATTGTTTATGGTATTTAGGCAGTAGTAACGTGTCACGTTTTAATAATTTTTAACTAAATGTTATGTAAGTTTTTTACAATGTATATATCCAATTCGTGTAACTCATGTGCAATTCAGTTGTGAAACTGCCATTCATGAAAGATGCAATAAAATACCATTTATCTAATCTAATCTTCAAAGTGAACAGGCCCTCCATGTATGTAACAACATTATGGTATGTTCACACTGAGAGTAAAAATAAACTCAAGTATGAAAACCACGTAAAAATGTTAAGACAATTCAAGAACATTTGAATTTCATATAATGTCATATTATATAAAAAGTACTTTTTTATTTCTAAATTAATATTCTTTCAAACTAGAGCTTGGTGCATGATACATGTACCAGTATGCCTGGTGTGTCATATTATCAAGAAATGGCTGCACCCATGTCATTCTAAATAAAAGGCATTACATCATGCCAAGAATATCCCCATTTATACATTTCTTGTTCATTTTTGCATGAAATACATCTATAAGCAGGAATAAATCTCATCTTTCAGCATACTTACACTTATTTGGGGTTGAGGTTTCCTTTAATATAATTATGCTTGCATTCCAAAACTGTGTCACAGTACCAATACCACATGATGCATGCGTAACCTACAGTATATATTCAGTGACGCACTACACTTTATGAGCAAAGGGGGGTCTCAGATAGGGAGGTACTAGATGGAAAACAATGTGAGGAAATTACATAAATACATTCACCCTGTGGCAGTAAATTGATGGTTGCTCATTCATTACAAGAACCAAATCAATGATTTCCCTGCTTGTAATAACACACGTCAAGTCAGATTGTCATTCTTGGTTCACAAACATCACCACAGCTAGCATCTCCACTGAACAGTGTGCATAGAGGCCAAATACAGAGGTGATCTGATGATCTTTGTATATTAAATACAGTGCACATTTGTCTAGCTTTCTATTATAGTATATCATAGACCAAGTTATTCCATACAAATTTATTGAATTACTTTCCTTCTCAACTTTTTAAAACTTCTCCTCTTCTCCTTTATTTTCACTTTAAGTAATCTTCTCCTTCTCTCCCTCCTCTCCACCCCTTCCTCCTCCTCCATCCCTCCTCTCTCCCCTCCTCTCTCCCCTCCTCTCTCCCCTCCTCCTCTCTCCTCTTCCCTCCATCTTCTCTCCCTCCTCCTCCATCCCTCCTCTCTCCCCTCCTCCTCTCTCCTCTTCCCTCCCTCTTCTCTCCCTCCTCCTCCATCCCTCCTCTCTCCCCCTCCTCCTCTCTCCTCCTTCCTCCCTCTTCTCTCCCTCCTCTGTTCCCCTCCCTCCCTCTTCTCTCCCTCCTCCTCCATCCCTCCTCTCTCCTTCTCCTCTCTCTGCCCCTCCCTCTTCTCTCCTTCCTCTGTTCCCCTCCCTCCCTCTTCTCTCCCTCCTCCTCCATCCCTCCTCTCTCCTCCTCCTCCTCTCTCACTCTCATCCTCCCTTTCTCATCTCTCCCTCCTCCTCCATCCCTCCTCCATTCCTCCTCTCTCCCCTCCTCCTCTCTCCTCTTCCCTCCCTCTTCTCTCCCTCCTCCTCCATCCCTCCTCTCTCCTCCTCCTCCTCTCTCACTCTCATCCTCACTTTCTCATCTCTCCCACCCCTCCCTTCCTCCCCAATCCCTTTTTTCTAGTCTTCTCCCCACTTTCCGTTTGATTCTACTTGAAATAAAGTTAAAGATCTCAGATCTCCAACTTTGGTGACTGATACCCTTGGATGCACCATTTGATTGTTGTGTATAAAGCCTACATTGCCTTTCATCACATGTCAATGTGGATGATTGTGTAACACAACACAATCGGTTTCCAAGATATAATTCATTGTATAGCCTTGTCTTGATGAGTTTCCAACAACAGATGAGAACATTTCCTCGAAAAAATGTGAGTTGTCAAAATTAATCATTCGTCCTTTGGGAGGAGGATCTAAACAAGGAGCCAAAACTTGTATGATGTGCATCCTTTGATTATCACATCAAAAACCAAATTGAGTTTAGCAACTGTCATATCTTTTATCAAGTAAACTACACATACCACAGCTTCATAATAAACTTAAATTAGAACACTTGGATCATTTGACTATAATTTGATAGAGGTCATCAGTCATGTGTCCCAGAAAAGTTGAGAAATGAAAATGAAAGATAATGTTTTAAATGCCGGAGCGTGTGTGTCAGCCCCGCCCCCCTTCCATCCCTGCCCATTAACTTAACCATGCATACAATTTAAATGACCCCCCCCCCCCCCAATCAAAATATATACATGTAGGCTAAACCTTCCTCCTCCCTCCCTCTCTCCTCCTCCCTTCCCCCTCTCCTTCTCTTTCCCCTCTCTCTTGAATGTATCATCTACTAAGACCCAGAAGGGTGTAATTAACTCATATACTTTTAACACAGAGGTAATGGCCTTCTAGCTCTCAACAGGCGATATATCAGACAACAAACCCTCAGGCAGAGTATCATAGAGCACTCTCTTCAGCCAAATATGATATCAATTTTCTTGGAAGCTCCGGTAATTGATACATCATAGCAAACTGATGTTGACAGCTGACACACACAGTGACATTGTATTTAATCAGTTGGTTTCATGACAAGGTTTTACATCCTCTCTATGATAAGAAGGTCATTGTCTCTGACTTTCTCTTCCCTTTCATGATCAAAGATAATCTTTTTAATCAGGCTTGCATCTCTCTCTCTCTCTCTCTCTCTCTCTCTCTCTCTCTCTCCCTCTTTCTCTCTCTCTTCTCTCTCCCTTCCTCCTCTCTACCCCCTCCTCCCTTCCACCTCCTATACACCTCTCTCCATCTAATTGTAAAGGAATCTCTTTCATGTCTTTGCATCCATTGACCCCACCCCCTCCCATTCCTCAGCCACCCCTCCCCATTTCTATTTCAATAATGTAAGTGTTGGTCTACACAGCTCTATCAGCCTCATTTATCTGTCATCCTTCTTTGATTATTTTCCACATACAACTGTATGTACTACATGTACTACTCTTTCCAATCTTATCTCTGTTCTCAGCATGTCAAAATATTTACGTAAACTTTCCACTGTTTTCCAATCTTTGCTCAGCCTTGCTGAATAAACACACAAGGTCATCGGAATTATAGCACCCCTGAAATCTTCGTCAAGCAAACAACAACAAACAAAAAACATCATTTGTTGTTATTAAAAACAATTATTTCAGCAAAGTGAATAACTTATCATTAGTTTGTTAAATTGGGCAGAAAATGGTTGTGGCCTTCGAATCCATCCTATGCTGAAATTGACACACAATCTTACATCGAGGGAAAAAGTATGTAATGAATTATAACCAAAAATTCTATCTAAAAAATTCTACCTTGATATATATCTAAGAACTATTGATCTATTTTCTTTATTTATTCATTGCGCTGCTCATAAATATTTTTCTAGGAAATTTTGACAAATTTTTGTTTTTACCATCACAAGTTGAGATTTACTTTGAGAGACTAAGGTTAAAAGGCTACTTTTCAAAGTCACTGTAAAGCCTCATTCTATCTTTCTCATTCTATCTTTCTGTTGTTGGTTTCCTTCAATCTCTCACTAGAGAATTAAACTGATTTTGAGGTTAGTTTAATGTTTGAGACTATAAATGCCTTAAACAGGTTATATGTACCAAAAACATGGCCAATTTGCCTTATGACTCAGGAAAAAAAGTATTCCTGAATGAGAAAAGAGCAACTGTAACAAACAAACAAACATCAACATCAACAGACTACGCCAACAGTCCTTTTCAGGACTACACACCCTCAAGAAATATTACTGAGAGTCCTTTTCAGGACTCCTCAATCCTCCCTCTATCTCTCACATGGTGCACCTGCAAGCCTACTGTATAAACAAACATCTATTACTGAGTTATAAATAATGCACAAAATATCTGCCCACAAGTAGCTTGACATCAGAGCAGAGTTTTCTCATGTATTTTTATATTTACCACTAAACCATGTACATGTATGTACTTTGCATCTTTTGAAGAGGTTCATCTGATTGGTAAGTAATTCCATAAATTGAATTTTCATAATTTCACAATAAATAAGGTTTTTTTTCTTCTTTTTTTACTTGCGAGACTTTCTCCTAAGGTTCTCGTTGCTGACTGACGTTTTATAATCGTCACTAGATTAAATCTACGTCATATATATTTAAAAAATTGTTTTAAAGAAAACAAACTTTTTGATTGTGAAATTATGAAAATTCAATCTATACTTTGAAGCTTGTCACTTACTCTAGTATTATTGCATGCTTTTCCTTTCTTGTATTCCTTCCTATTGTATCTCTTATCTAGTTTACTCCAGAGCGAAGCAGCCTTCCACGATGTCAGCTGAGACTTGAACTTGGGGTAGAAGTTGCGATGCTCTGCAAAAGGTTTGAGGTTCAATTCCTCGCAGAGCTCAAAGAATGTTTTGAAGATACCCTGGAATGTTCCGGCCTGGACGAAGAGATCGTAGAGGACGTCTCGCTTGTTGGCTGGGACACCCCCTGGTGTCTCGATCCCAGGCATGGCGGGAGAGGATCTGAACAGGATTAAGAGATAAAACAAAATATGATAAATTATCAGACATCAAAAAAATATTATCGTACAGAACTTTGATAAGTCAAGTTAAGGGCGATTTCAATACCCTTTTGTACATCCTATCAACCAAAAATCTTGTTCGGAGTACGAAATGTGTCATTGTTATGTTTGCACATTTCAAACAGTGAGGGAAAAGGCTATTGAAATTGCCTTACACGATCTGTTGATTTTTCAGAAAGTCTTTGCAATCAACATGACCAAACATGTAAAGGAAATCTTGGTAAATTAAAACTTACAAGTAAGTAATATACTTGCTGTACAGAATGAAACAAAATCAGAAAAATGTTTGAATCAAGAGGGATTTGAACCTGCAACTTCTGGCTCTCAGCATATCATTTCAACTCACTAGACTACAATTCCAGCATAACTAATAAAAAGCATGAACAAAGTAATAGACCAACATTCCACTCTGGGCTTTGCTGAATCAAATTTAGCTGTTGATGAACTTTCACAGGATGGACATCCTATTCAAAGACAACTAATACAAAACTGTACTCTCTCTCACTTTTTAATATCCTGCCGAATGGAAGCACATGACAAAATGCTGGTTTGGTATACTACAAAATAATCTGTGTTCACAGACACAGTGTTTCCTTTCAAGCTTCCTTTCAAGGAAATTTGTTCACTATTTTTTGTCTGAAATTTTTTTCTCAGAAAACATGTAAGTTGCTGCCAATAGCAACTGATTTATTTCTGACGATACAGATGTTTGACAACACTTGGGCCACTTAACGCCACCTCATGCAGATATAATGCAGACAAGATGCCTATAGGTACTCTGCAGTCCAGACGGATCTTTAATTACAGAGTGTTCGAGTTGCCAGACTTTGTTTCATCTCAAATTGTCTTGGACGCTTTAATCATGGACCTAGGGTGCGTTCAAGCCACACTTTTTCACCCTAGAATCACAGTTTTCAAAGATGTTTAGTTTCAAGCGTTTTTTCGTCAGTCGTAAAAATAAACGTGTTTAAAAACGCAAACATGAAACATGAAACGCTGAAAAAAATGTGTTTTGTATCATGATTCTGCAGAATTAAGGTCGCTAAAAATCACTTGAACGAACAGAGATCTCAGAATCTCAAATTCAGAAAGCACCCCGCGAAGTTGACCTATACTTCCTGGATCAAACTGCAGTTTTTGAACGCTCTCCAGCAGTATCCATGTTTTTTAATGGCGTTTTGATTTGTGATTCATGATTGTGATTCTAGCTTCAAAAAATCGCTTGAACGCACCCTAGTACATGTAGGTCCACGCTTTAATCAGCTGGGCCATAGGATCCGACTGACTTCAGTCTGCCCGTTTGTACTAAATCAAGCAGACAGGTTTAATGAATGAGAAATACAGATGCCAAGACTGATTCACAAGCAGGCAGTACAATCCAGCACACACACACATGACCCATACTTGTACCATGGTACTGCTTATACCATGAGTCTTTTTAACCCACTGATTACCGAAACAGGTCTTAGCGTATTTTCCAATCTAGGAGGGTATACATTATACATATTTCTTTTTAAAAATTCATGACAATTTACTTGTAAGCATTATCATAACACAATTTAATGACCCCTACAGACTTGAGGAAAAGAAGCTCATTAAAGTTAGGATATTGTCATTACCATGTTTACCCATATGGTTGTGCACAAAGACGCAAGAGCACTGCTGCATAACTAATCAATCAATAGAGGTCAAGAGTCTGTTTAAAGCCAGAAAGGCGTTATCTATCAATCAATGCCTTTATAGTTTATACATGTATACCTCAGTAAATGATACTTGTAGGCCTACGGTAGAGATCAGTTAACTGACATATCGCCTGCTTAGAGCCAGCAGGGCTTTCTATTAGAACTTAAGCCCTTCTACAGGTCTAGGCTTTGAATTAGATCCATGTAGAGTTAATGCCCTTCTTGCACTCAAAGTCCACAAAGAGATCAGTCAGTCAACAAAATATCTGTCTGCAGCTACATGTGTATAAGGGTATAGTTCATACACTTTAACAGAGAGCCAACATCCTTCTGGCCCTCACCAGCCCAGATTGAGGTCAGTCAATCAACATAATACATGTTTGGAGCCAGAAGGATATTAACTAATAGACTTAATAACAGAGAGCTAATATCCTTCTTGCACTCACAGGCTCAAATAGAGATCAGTCAATCATTGTAATATGCATGAGTAATACACCCCTAGGTGGGAGAAGGCAGTAATAATCTATTAATACATGATGGCTTGTTTGGGTTATTATCAGGAATGTCTTGACTTCAGGTCAAGTATTCACTCACTAGGTCATGTTTAATCTTTCATACCAGCCTTTAAAGGTACCAATCACACTCAAGATTTACAATTTCATTGTTAAAAATGATGAAGGAAACTAAGAACCTGATCAACATCCAATTACCAAACATAAACCAAGAACTAGGGCAACCAAGAAAGAAAGTAAAAAGCTCTAATTAATTTTTTTGTTCTTATGTTGAGGATATGTTTGAAGATTTAATTCATTTCTGAATATCCCTAGAAAATTCCCTACAAAGCAAAACTCCGATACATGGAATGGAGGCAGGGTCTGCAAGCAATTTATCAGCAACTGTCTTGATTGTTGAAAAATACATATTATAGTAAAGCTTACCACAAATTATCCTCCCACCCCCCCCCCCCCCAAAAAAAAAATTTTTATCCTTTGTTTAATACAAATCTTTCTTTCCTTTACCCCCCAGCTCCCTCTCTCTACAAATATCTGTCGCCCTTAGAATAGATTCATTCATAGAGAAGAGCCATCATCTAATGCTCTGGAAGATATCTAGAGCAGGGTAGAGAATTCAAACAGAATATAGACCCTATATATAATACCCCATATAACTCTCTCTCTCTCTCTCTCTCTCTCTCTCTCTCTCTCTCTCTCTCTCTCTCTCTCATGTAATCTTCACTGCCTCCACTGGGTATTCAATTGTTCATTTATAATTTATTTGTAGCCAACAGGAAAGATTCATCCATCCTCTTCTCTTATCGTCACAATAACACATGGTGTTCATCTGGATCTTGGATCAATCTAATGTACTTCTCTTCAATCTGCCTTCAATTCCTATAGACATCCTCTCTATCTGCTTTGCAGATTAATCTACCAATTTTCATTTTCACACTAGAATGAATTCTAAATAAATGATATAATAAAGTCCATTTAGCAAATAAGAAATATCCAATCCATGAATTTACAAAGCACCAATATTTAGTTGCCTAATCAAAGGCGCTGATGAGACTGTGTAAAACTACCAAAAATGTCTGTTCATGATTCTAACTGGGAAAGACAAAAAAGCAGTGACTAATTGTAAGCAATCTGAAATAGGTACATGTACATGTACCGGTATGATTTTAGTTGAGTTCTGAAAGTGGATAGATAACTGGTGACAAGAGCGAAGGATTACATAAGAAATACATATGAGTTGGTTTTCTATGTTTGCAGTTTTGCAAAACAAGTTTTTACAGGTTACGTACAGTAGGACCAAATACAATATTATTTTTGTTTGATTTAAGATTATATTTCATATAAAGTGAGTCAAAATGAGCTGTGAATAATGCATTGCATGATTCCTTCCAGGGTTCCAACTGCTTTTTTTTTTTTTCAGGAGGTCAGTCTGCTCCCTGTACGGCAAGATGTACGTACGGTAGGAGAAACTTATCAATCAAAATGAGAGAGTGTGGTTCTACAATATCACTGCATTGTTTATTACAGAGGGTTCTTACAGTACATTGTACTTGGGACACCTTTGATAACGATTGCATGGGCAGGTTATTTGTGTTTCCTGCCTGTTTATTGTGTAGGTCAACATGCAAACATGGACCCTACCACCAGTACAAAGGACATTAAAAAAAAGGTCCTGAAAATCTTCAGATAATTTTCATCCTCATGATGTTATGGTTGCTAATGTTTATTTGATGAAAGTAGTGTCTTGCATGGTCATACAATCTTATACAGGTATGTACATTTCAAAGAATTTTCCTGTACACAGAGAACCTTGATTCGATTCAATATAAGAGTGGTAATTTTTCTATTTCTAATAAAAGTCCTCTACTTGATGAAAAAGTTATCATCACTTAAATATATTTGATTATCAATATACATGTAGTGGATACCAATTGTCTATTTCTCAAACAAGGTTCCATCAAATAATCTGAACAGAGCTGATTAAGATATCAAATTCAAATTTCATGAGACAGGCCCAGATCTGAAAACAATACATGTGCAATGAGGTCAATCTTTGCAAGCATTTCTTAAACATTAAGGTATGATAGTATGAACACAGCATCCAAATAGACCATTGAATAGCCACACAGCTCAAGCAGGTGTTTTGATCTACTTCATCTTGATAATGATCAATACAGGCATTGTTGTGTTCAATCATTACCACCCAATCAGGAAGTGAAGAGCAGTTAATGGCAGACCAGATAGTGAGGAATACATCATGTGAGTTGCTACTGAAATTATGTTAATTGGGAGTTAAAGTCACAAGAGGAATGAAAACCAGTGACACAGTCAGAGAGCCACAAGTCAAATATACATTTTTTTTAAATGAAAAAGTCCCCCCCCTCCTTTTATTTTCAAAGGTGAACTGGCAGGAAAAGATGGAGGTAAAAAAAAGTGGGATCCCTAGCAAATGAGCTAGATTATCTTTATGATAGAGTAGAGTAGGGGGGGGGTGGTGACAGAGGGGATGGGGTCCCTACTCAGGATTTACATAGCAGATTCCAAGAAAACAGTTGCAATCTAGGAGAGAGGTGGCCACTGAGACGGGTTTGACTGTACATGTACTTCTACACTGAGGTAAATTTGTTGCAACACCATCCTGGCTCTAATCACATGTCATGTTTTATACCATGTAGTAATCCTATGTTAAGATACCCAGTATCATACCATGTGAATAACACAAACACATGATGACAAGCCCTACGGCC